ACGAAAGCAGTAAATGACGAAAGCAGTAAATGACGAAAGCAATGACGAACGAAATGATTGACGAAAACTATCAATGACGAAAGCTATTAGTGACGTAGAATAACATTGGCCTAACATCCACTACGTCGTTAATTTCTAGATTTTTTAATTAGCTGATATCCAGATTGATAAAAACCAACAACTGACTTTAAATTGGAATGTCTCATTTCAAAATTGGTCATCAAGTCTTATCAAATCCAATTGGTATCCTTAAAAAGATCAGATACCTAGAGGGGAAATCAGTTTTAATGCTTGTTTGATAACCACAACCAACTCTAACCCTGACGCTTGAAATCAAGCTAATACTGGCGTAAGGTCCGATGTGTTTGCCTTTTCATTAAGTTAGTACATTCACTTGAGCAAACAAGTCGGCCATTTGTAGAACGAGCTGGATTACCAAAATACCACGACTACCTTTTAAATGCCTGCAACTTCATTTACCTCTAGTGTTTGCATTGTATTTCTCTATTGCACTTTGTGGAGCGGGATATGATTTATAGCTTGACATTTATCAAAGGCAGGGAATTGCATGAATGTGTTACCTGACGTTCGTGTAGAGGCCTCTATTTGTATTGAAGCTACATCACTCTGCCCTTTGTGCATTTTTGTCATTTTGCTGCACATGAATCTGAGAAACGTGATGTCATTTTTCAAGATATGATTCTGCCTGTCAATTAGACGAAATCCCATAAGAGCATCCCATCTGGCTGGCATCGGAACATAGTTTGCTACTGTTTGAGGTTTGTTTCTCTGCCTGTATAGGCAATCTTTGAGTTTTTAGAGAACCAAATAAGAACTTAGAAATAAGTAAAGTCAAGTTTGTGATTTGGAATGAGCAGCGGTACCAGGTAAAAATAGGCATCTATCGCACATTTGCTGTTGCCATTAGCCAGTTATGATGATACATGACTTACGTGTCTTTAATTTCGCAAGAGTGTCTGTTTATCTTGTTAAGTAGCTGTACAATGAATGACATGACAAGAAAAACACCGCATTTTGAGGTATGAACCACATTGAATTACGTTTGAGTTACTTTGTCAAACTTAATGGCACATATTCGAAGCATCGATCTTTGTGAAAGTTACAAGAAAGGCATACACAGTTAAACTTTTTCAGTTCAATACAGGAGTTTCAAAACTTTCTTTTAATCTTATGCAGTTTGCTTGCCAGTCTCAAGTATGTTATTTTGGCTTGAG